TTCAGATCGACTTCTATATATTCGGATTTGTGTATATATTCTGATTTACATTTATATATTCAGATTTGCTTCTATATATTCAGATTTGTGTCTATATATTCTGATTTACATTTATATATTCAGATTTGCTTCTATATATTCAGATTTGTGTCTATGTATTCAGATTTACATTTATATATTCAGATTTACTTCTATATATTCAGATTTTGTATAGCTATATATTCGTGGTTATAACTGTATATTCACATTTTAAGTTTATATATTCAGATTTACATAATTATTTCCTGTTTGGCGCCTTGTAAATAAATAATATCTTATATATTTTGTGTGTTTTTCTGGGTTAATGAATACAGACCGTTCATCGCCCCCCTGCAGCTTCAGCATTATTTATTAACCGTGTCTCAAACCTCCAGAACTGCCTACTTAGACAGAATTTTCTGCCATCGCATGCACGTCCGATCCAGCTGCCGTAGGTAAGCAGTACGCACCTCGCTAGATTTTGAGACACGGCTGTGTCCTGTTTTCAAACCGCGCCACAGCGCATTGAATAGCAGGCATGACTGAGGCCGATCCTGCGGTGAAACACAACCCGCCCGACTATAAGAAGCGGACGCGGCTGTACTGCATGAACGGAGGATTTCACCTGCAGATGCTGGAGGACGGGACCGTCGCGGGAGCGCGTGAGGAAGACATCTACAGTGAGTGCTGAGATATGATATATGATGTTATGATAACGCGTTTATGCGCTAAATAGGGGTCGTAGTGTGTGCTGGTGGATATGCTGTCGGATTCCCAGCTGAATGAGAATGAAGTATTTAAAAAATAAAGTAGGCAACATAGGGATGAATATAATTGAGAATGATAATATTGGCATTTTAATTTTAAAAGCGCAATACTGTGGTTTGTGCTAAAAATCATAATTTTTCCTCAAAAATAAAACCAAAAGTATTGCTTTTAATGAAACCCGTTAAGTGTAAAGAACGAAATACTTAAATTGTATTGAGCATTTATGTCAGTAATTCACTATTTTATCATCTATCTATCTATCTCCACTCATTTCTCCTGCAGTCTGGTAAAAGCTACAGAAGTATCAGATCAAGGACTAGGCTGTTAAACAGCTTTTCCCCTACATATCAGACTGCTTAATTTGAGAATGTGAACTGGACTTAAAAGACTGCACTTTTTCTTTTTAAATTCTGTTTTAGTTTATTTATTAGTATTCTTATTTATAGCATTCTCGCTGCAGAATTTTGAATATATTGCAATCGAGAGATGGAGCGTACTCGTAATCCGGAAAAAAAGAGCGCTGCAGTAATCAAGGCGGGATGTGATTAAAGCATTTACTAGTAATTCAGCATTTTTTGGACTGATGAAGGAACGGAGTTTGGCAATACGGCAAAGTTGAAAAAATGCAGCTTTGGAGAGCTTACTAATATAAGCATCTAGATTTAGAGAAGAGTCAAGAATGATACCTAAGTTTTTAACTGTGGCGGATGGGATAATTGATGTGGCTTCGAGGTCAAATCTAGGGGCATTTGTTATGTTTTTTGTTACAGTTGGGGGCCCGACAAGTAAGATATCTGTTTTAGTCAAATTCAAACTGAGAGAGTTGGAGCTAAGCCAGGTCTTTAACTCATTGACGCATGACAATAGAGATGCAGTCTGGTGGATAGAGTCAGGTCGGCAGCAAGTGTATATCTGAATATCATCGGCATAGCAGTGGTACTGTGGCGGCGAATAATTTGTCCGAGGGGCATAATATAAACAATAAATATTAATGGCCCTAGGACTGAGCCCTGTGGCACACCCTGTTTAAGAGGGACAGAGGGAGATTTATAGTTATGTATGGTGATGTAATATTGTCTGTCCGTCAGATATGAGGAAAACCAGGATAACGCCATTCCTGAGATGCCAATCTCTGAGAGGCGCATGAGTAATAGTTTATGAGAGACCGTATCAAAAGCTGAGCTGAGATCGAGTAGTAGAAGTATAGAAAGATTGCCCGAATCACCAGAAAGGAGTAGGTCGTTTATAACCCTTACTAGAGCAGTTTCAGTACTGTGTTGTGAACGAAAACCTGACTGAAACATATCAAAGAGTTCATTGTGAGCTAGAAATGACTGCAATTGAGCGGCAACAACCTTTTCCATGATTTTTGAAACAAACGGTAGGTTGGAGATTGGGCGATAATTAGTGTAATCAGTTGGGTCTAGATTTGGCTTTTTAAGAATAGGAGTAACAGCAGCAGTTTTAAGTGAAACTGGAACAGTGGCAGAAGTAAGAGACATGTTTACAAGATGTGAAATTGGAGCAGAAATGACAGAGGTGCAGTGTTTCAAAAGGAATGTTGGTGCAGGGTCAGCCCGGCAGGAAGAAGAATTGGATTTCAATATTATTTCACTAATTAAGGTGGGATTAGACAAGGAGAAGTTATTGAGCGTTTGAATAGACAGAGCTAGCTCACAAGTAGAAGTAGTCAGTTCTGCACCAAATGTCCCACATAATGCGTCCAGCTTACCCTGAAAATGGTAAAAAAGAACAGCATAGATTGTCAGATTCTCGTTGAAAGGCATTATGCATAGATACATTTATACACAAATACATAACATATACACATTTACACACACATACATAGCGTATAAAGTGGTTTGTGTATATTAAAAAGATTTATTTTACATAAATTGCGTACTTAAACCTGTAAGCATGCAATAATAGCATTATTATAGCATTCATTATTATTATTATTATTATTGTATTACACAACCTTTTAGACTTTTATTAATTAATTTGAAATGAACAATTATTTAAACTGCTATATTGTTCTAGTTTTGCTTGAAAACTTAAATTTAATTCCTGAAAATGTTTGTCCTTGATCTTCTGTTATCGTGGGACACTGTTCTGGAATCTGGGATTTTTCTGTATCATTTTCAGTAATCCTCCCATGATTACAACAGTCTTTCACACTGTCTGTACGTACGTGTGTGTGTGTGTGTGTGTGTGTGTGTGTGTGTGTGTGTGT